TAATAATCCGTTCATGAGCGACATCGCGTTCAGTTGTGAAGGCTCAGACAAGAAATTCTTCGCACATAAATATGTCCTCGCCACAAGTAGTGCTGTATTTTATGCGATGTTTTACGGCGAGCTGGCAGAGAAGAATTCAGTTGTTCATCTGAGCGATACTGACGAGGAAAGTCTGCAGGAATTTCTACGATTTCTTTACACGGACGAGTGTAACTTGACAACAAATAATGCCGTGTTTGTGTTGTACTTGGCCAAGAAGTATATCGTGCCCTCTCTCGCTGAAAAATGTTTTGAATATTTTGACGCCAACTTCGCAGCAGAAAATGTTTTGATACTTTTACAGCAAGCAATTCAATTTGACGAAAATAAACTTGAGGAGAAATGCTGGGATTTCATAGATTTGAAAGCGAACGAAGTTGTCGCTTCTGATGGATTTTCTGACATTAATCAAGCAACTTTAGTAGAATTATTGAAGCGAGAACCGTTGAACTTGGAAGAGGTTGATCTTTTCAAAGCAGTTTTAAAATGGAGCGAAGCGGAATGCTCAAGAAAGGGAATAGAAGCGAATGCAAAGAACAAACGAGCCGCCATGGGAGATGCAATCTATCAAATTCGTTTTGTCTCTATGACGCTTCAAGATTTTGCTCAGAATGTTTCCCAGTCGGGTATACTTACACCAGAAGAAATGCTTTTATTCTATGAGACATTTGGCGGAATAGAAAAAACGTCTGAAATATGGAACATGTCAGAAACAAGGGCAAAAGAAGATATCTTACTAAGATGTTGCAGATTTGATTGCTATGGACTTCATCTTGTGTCGAAAACAGTGAGTACTTGGGAGGACACACTAGGTATATCGTTTAGTAAGCCAGTGAAACTCCACGGTGTTCGCTTGCTTGGCGAAAAAGGGAAGGAATATAAAGTGAAGTTAGAGATTTGGTCTTGGATAATTGAAAAGAAATTTCATTCAGAACAGGATAATCGTGGCATATCTCAAGGGTTTGATGTCATGTTACCATTACCAATTAAGGTTCAAGCTAATGTTCCTGTTCATCTGAAAACCACCATAACCGGCTGTCGTCGCACCAATTTCGACGCGCGTGTGAGAAAGACAGTAAAAACAAATGGTATTACTATAAATTTTATAACCAAGAATGATAATGATTTTGATGAAATTATCTTTAGAGAAATGTCAAAATGAGATGCAGATAATCGATGATGTGAACACTGTTAATCAACATTTCAATATCGAAAATGGGAAGAAAGTAGATGGACAAATGGTAAAGGGGTTGACAATAACTATATGCCATAGGGAGAATATCACTAATTTTCAGGGACTGTAGGGACAAACTAAAAAATATAACAGGAAAATTGGCATCTTTAGGGGTGACCAATACATTTTTTAAAGTTGAGGCCCTGTAAGGGGTTTTAGGTATAAGGTATACTTCCCCAAAGTATTGTAGTTATAAAGTATTAATAACGATGGACTTTTGGGTATAAAGTACAAATTATTACTGAGGAGTCTTCAAAATAGACATTTTGTGTTTGCATTTAATTGTGTCAATTGTCAATAGTGACCAACAGTGGTCAATAGTTATCGCTTCTAACGTCTCTAATTCGATATCGATCAGACCTCGAGGTTGATCAGACTGACTCTGGTAGCCGTGAATCAGCCTCGTACTCAGGCGCAAATAACTAAAAATAAGCACGCTACAGTGTTTTTATTTAGACCAGTGACTGAGCTAGAGAACCCCATCGAGTCCTCCCCAAGCACCCCCGCGCGCCTGCTCATCTTACCTACTGGTCTATATAAAGACACTGGAGTGTGCCTATTTTTACTTATTTGCGCCTGGGTACGAGGCTGGCTGTGAATGGGCCTCGTTTACTGTGTTTACACTACTGATATGAGCATACTGCATGATTTTCGTGAATGAATAAGCGTGCTTATAAGACGCCGGATTTTAGTTTGCTGATCAGAACGCCCATATATGTACCAAAATGTTGTAATATGCTCATGAGCAAGCTTATGAGCAGACTGTGATTTTTGTGAATGAATGAGCGTGCTCATGAGCATACCGGATTTTGATATGCTCATCAGAACGCCCATATATGTACCAAAATCCTGCAATATGCTCCTGAGCATGCTTATGAGCATACTGCATGATTTTAGGTATTCGTTATGATCACGGCGGTTTGTTGCTATTACGAATATCGGATTTCGCCATACCTTGCAGCCTGGTCGGTTGTGGCTATAAAGGATACCAGATTTCGGCATACCTTATAGCCACGACGGTTTCTGGCTGTGAATGATTAAAATGACATACATGCCATTTAATAGTTGAAAATCTAAGCTGAATCCATTCTTCTTGGAACCATATATAGAAACGCCTTTGCGAGATTTTACACATCAACCACCTCCAGTAAATCGTCGTTGTTTTAGATTGAGACTTAGTCAGCGATTGGAAAGGCGACTGTCCCTCTCCCCCCCTCGCCTCCCCCC